CAGAATCCTTTTGTGAATCGATCGGTATAAGAAAAGATTGTTCTGGTACGACCTATAGGTTTTATATAAATTTACATAGAGAGACATCAGTCGGACAGAGGGACAGAATCCTTTTGTGAATCGATCGGTATACCAAAAGATTGCACTAAATCCTTAAGGATACTGTATACATCCCCACAAGCTTAATACACTCTTATACATCAGGTGAGCAGGAGTACGAAAAGAAAAAAAAATTGAGACAAAATTCATTACGCTTCACTTGCAATCACATTGGGATCAATATCACGGAGACGTCACAAGTCACAAGCCATTCTCATGGTCTTTTTCTTTTGCTTTCGTAGCTTAATATCTTAATGACTCCTTCAATGTTTTTAAGAGGAAATTGATCATATCCTTGAACTCTTAAATTCTTCCGGTACTAGCAGTGGAATTAAGTTGAATTTACCAAATTCCGTGGTAGCGCATTGATAGATATTTGATTAGTCCTAAGTCTTTCTATGCACTACATATGCGTATTGGCTTATGACTTAAAAAAAAATAAAAAAAAAAAAAAACAAGTATGAAAATTAAATTTAGTCGGGACCAAGCCTTTTATACTTATCACCGTTTACCCAAAAAACGAGACAAAAGAAGTAAAAGAACAAAATTCTCATCGTCTATAATATGGAGTGGAGTCGGAGGTGTTGTGGGCGTGTCCTTTGAAAAGTTACAAACTTACGCAAACAGATAGATCGAGAGGCGAACAGGCGGATATGCTTAGGCATATTTCAAATTGGAAATCGGCTAAGAATTTGCATACTTTATGGAGTTTTTGAAGCTTGGTTTTGCGCAAAAAAAAAATGCAATTTTAATGCACTGTAATATTGAGTAGGCGTAGTCAATTTTTCCCTTTTTTCTATGATGCTACAGCATCACCCATAGAATATGTGTTCAAATTTTTGTACATTTATTTGCTATAGTTTAGGAGTAATGAGCAACAACCAGAGAAACAGAGGTGTTTTTACGTGGGCGTTGTGGGCGTGTCCTTCAATCGACTAAGGCCATTTTCCAATGTTTCTGCCAAATCTGTCGATAGCTTTATTTTTACGGCCAAGAGAATATTTGCAACAGACATTACACAGACGGGCAGACGGACAGACGGACATGCTTAAATCGATTTAGAATTTGATGCTGATCGAGAATATATCTACTTATGGTGGGGTCTCTTATGCTTACTTCTGGTTCGTTGCAAACGTTTTGACAAAATGAATATACCCCTCATCCTTCGATGATGGATACAAAAAAAGCTGTACTTGTAACGGAATTGATATTTGACACTTTTATTCTCACTCTTACCCGGGAATACCGGGAAATATGATAAATGGTAAAAAACAACAACAACAACAACAACAACAATAACTATGATACTAACAAAACATGTTTGTTTGTTATTACGACAAATCACAACACAAGAACACGTTTAGTACTTTACCTTAATTACCTAATTACCTAATTACCTAAACTTTTAAAACCGTAATCTTAAAGAAAAGAGAAACGTTATTCGGTTTTGTATTAAAATCGGGTCGTTATAAGCGAGTTGCGCAAACTATAGACGGCAACGAAAGAACAAAAAGAACACTTTTGTGTTTTTTTTTTTAGATAGGATAAGGTAAAGTAAGGTTAAGGCCTTTATATATCCGTTAGATACGAAACGTATATTAGTTTAGTATGGGTTTTGTTTCGATCACTAGATAATTTCCATTATGCCATCTTATTAACCTGAAATTCGGGACCATTTTCTCGAATATTTTTATGATGTACGTAAATTTTTTTAGGATAAAAAAGTAATTTTGTTTTAAATAAATGTTAAAAAAAAAAAAAAAAAAAACGAAAAGAAAAGAAAATAATTTTTTAATAGCGTATCTGTCGTAAACGTATTCCTGCAGATCGCTATCATTTTATATATTTTTTTTATTTTTTTTTCAATTTTTTTTTTTTTTTTTTTAACATTTATTTAAAACAAAATTACTTTTTTATCCTAAAAAAATTTACGTACATCATAAAAATATTCGAGAAAATGGTCCCGAATTTCAGGTTAATAAGATGGCATAATGGAAATTATCTAGTGATCGAAACAAAACCCATACTAAACTAATATACGTTTCGTATCTA